AAGACCTTATACTTGGACGAGGAACACCCCCAGAGCAAATTGTATCATCATCATCCCAGAAACCACAGGGTACACCAGAAGCAGCTCCAGCTCCAGAACCAGAATATCCTATATGCCCACCACCTAGTCCAGTACTAGACCAACCCTCATCACCGATATCATCACCAAGATCTTCACCACCTCCACCAGATCCGGAAGACCCAGATCCAGGAGCAGAAGTATCAGATCCAGAAAGTGACGACGACGACGACAATATGTCTAAAGTATTCAAAGCCTTTGACAAGGTATCCACACTTAAAAGTGATGGATCTAACTGGGACACGTGGAAGAATCGAGTGGAGCTAGCCACCCGGTCAATTGGATTTTCAGATCACCTCACATCTAATCCAAATGATGACACTGAAGCATCGGAAGCCAAGAAAGACGACGATGGAAATTTATTAAATGCCATCGTGGGCCGCCTATCAGATCAGATCTATAGGCGATACAAGAATTACGACAAAGTGTTCGATTTGTGGAAAAATTTGCTGAGTGATTTTGATTCGAAAAGTGCTCTCACTGAAGCGCACTTACAACAACAGCTTCATTCCATGCGATGCCATGAACCGTCAAAGGTTAATGAGCATTTGGATAGATTGTTGGAAATCAGAGACAGTTTGGAAGCGCGGAGGATCACCATTCCCGAGGAAATGTTCAATAACACGATCATCGCTTCCATCCCAAACATATTCAAACCAACGATCAACGCATTGGTAGTGGTTGCAGCAAGGACTTCAGTCCCGCTGACCACAAGGGAGCTAGTTTTGACGATACGTGCAGAAGCATCAGGCCATACCCGAGGACAATCTGGAAAGAAGGAATCTGCAAACTACGCCAGCGGAAATTTCAACCGCGGCAGGGGTGGATTTAACCGAAATCGGGGAAACTCCAGAGGCCAGTCCAGGGGCAGAGGTAATAGCAATAGAGGAGGAGGTCAGAATCGACCAAACTCTAACAATTCCACATGCTACAATTGCGGTGGAAAGGGGCATTTTGCTAATAAATGCAGTTCACCGAAACGACAACAGGCCAATGAGGCCCAAGAGAGTTCTCAGAAGAAGGAGAAAAACCAGCCATCTGGGAGCAACAGCAATAGTTGGAGATCGAAGAATAAAGAAGTGGGATCCTCAGCCACCATTGAGGAAGTACCCGAGTCATCGTGGGCAGCCGTGGAAGTTACCCAAACTACGTCACAGGAAATATTCAATTTTTCCGAAATTGCTAACAACTATGAGACAGCTTTTGTAGCATCTCACAGCACCGGAGCAATTCTATTCGACTCAGGATGCTCATCCCACATGACTCCACTTCAGGACAAACTTCGCAATACGCGAAGTGTACCTACTCGAATCATCCAGGCAGCTAACGCTGAGGCTTTCACATCCAACATTGCCGGGAATCTCCAGATCGATCTTCCAATCAACGAGAATGGAATTTCGAAATCGCTCACACTCCAAAACACCCTCTTATGCCCTAACACACCAAATACACTTGTATCATTGGGTAAACTCGATGATGCAGGATATGTGATGGTAATCAGAGACGGAACTCTAAAGATCATCAATAGACAGGGGGAGACGATCGGAATCGTTCCCAAGACAAATGGTCTATACCAGATTCCGAATACGGAATATGCCTACGCCGGGAAGGTAACCAGGATGGTGTCGCTTTATGAAGCACACTGCATTGCTGGCCATCAGAACTATGCTTATGTCAAACATATGTTCAAAACCAACCAGGTCCATGGGATCAAGCTAGATCCTAAGCAGATGGAAGAACCCGAATGCCGGACGTGCATGCTTGCTAAAGCTGCAAGATTCCCAATCTCTAAAATTCGGGCATCCCCGAGAGCGGAGAAATTTGGTGATGTATTTCACATGGACGTATGGGGACCAGCTTCTGTCCAAACGCTGAATCATTATATCTACGCATTGACAGTCATCGACGAAGCAACTAGTTGGTTGGAGGAACCACTGATGAAGGGCAAAGATGAGGCTTTTGCCCAATACGTCGTACTCCAAACCGGTCTCCAAACTCAATATGGCATAACGGTCAAGAAACTCCACTCTGATCGAGGGGGAGAATTTCTAAGTGGTGAATTCACAGCATACCTGGAACGGTTAGGCACTAAGCGCAGCCTTACGGTACATGACACTCCGGAACACAATGGCATAGCGGAACGGAGTCACAGGACCCTACTCAATGGAGTACGCAGCCTTATGATTTCATCCGGATTACCCAAATGGCTTTGGGGTTTTATGATGGGGTACACAGTGTATGTGTGGAACAGGACACCGAAGAAGGCAAACGGTATGATTTCTCCATGGGAGAAACGATTTGGCACAACACCTGACATCTCCAACTTCCATATTTTTGGAAGCACGGTCTATGTCAAACGTGAGAAGGAGCCTGGAAAGCTTGACCATCAAGCACAGGAAGGACGTTGGGTAGGCATCGAACCAGAGTCCAGTGGTTACTTCATCTATTGGCCAGATCGCCACACAGTTTCAACTGAATGAAATGTTCAATTCTCTGATAGGCAGATCCAACCCGTTAAGGGGGAGGATCAGGATTTAGGAAATCTGGAAACATCGATCGCCGAGTCGGAACAGCCTATCATACCTGTACCAGAGGAAATAGCTGAACCCATCAACCCAGACATAATCACAGGAAAACGCATCAGGAAACCGACCAAGAAGATCCAGGATATCATCAATGGACTTGGAGAGCCGAACCGAGAGCTCAGGCATCTTACAGCATCACTTGGTCAAGTAACAGGTGAAATTATCGCTGACCCCACATCAGTTGCAGAAGCAATGCGACGTCCCAATTGGCCTCAATGGCGGGAAGCCATGAATGAGGAAATCCGAAGATTACAACAGCATGGGACATATGATATTGTCACTCCACCTGACGATGCCAACATCCTTACATCGAAATGGGTATTCAGGACCAAGCAAGATGAACAAGGAAAAGTCACAGGCCACAGAGCCAGACTAGTGGTACGAGGTTTTAACCAGATACCAGACGTTGACTACTTCCCAGATGAAACGTTTGCATCGGTCACAAAGCTGGCAGCAGCTCGAGCCATCCTCAGCACAGGAGCCGAACAGAACATGTTCATTCACCAGATGGATGTCAAATCAGCATATCTATATGGCAAACTGGACGACAATGAGCAAATCTACATGAAGGCACCACCAGGTGTTGACATTGAAGTTAAAGCAGGACAAGTGCTTAAACTCAAGCTCGCCCTCTACGGACTTAAACAAGCCGGTCGCCATTGGTACATGAGATTCAGGGAGATCATGACATCAGTCGGTCTCACCAGGTCAAATTTTGATTATGCCGTATTCTATCGAACTGACCCTTTTTGTATCATATTCATCCATGTCGATGATATGACTATGCTTACCAAGACCATGGCTGTGATGGACACTCTAAAGAAGAAGATCAGGGACCAGATTGAAGTCGTTGATTCTGGAGAAATCCACTGGTTACTAGGGATTGAGATCCGCCGATCTCTACATACACGGTCCATTCACTTATCCCAAAGGGCATATATTGACGCGATCCTATCTCGATATGGATTCGCAGATGTCAAACCGCTTTCCATCCCATTCGATCCACACATACATCTTACCAAGGATCAGATGCCAACTACTGTCGAGGATATCACACACATGCGCGACAAGCCCTACAGAGAGGCTGTTGGCGCCCTACAATACTTATCAGTAGCAACTTGACCCGACATCACTTACGCAGTCGGCATACTGGCAAAGTTTTTGCAAAACCCCGGAATCACTCACTGGAACGCTGTAAAGCGTGTTTATGCATATCTCAAATACACCCGAGATCTATGGCTCACTTTCGGAGGAACACAAGCAGAAATTGAAGGATACACGGACGCTGACGGAATGTCCCAGGAGGATAGACACGCTATCTCAGGATACGTTTTCATGCTCAACGGAGGAGCAGTATCATGGTCATCCAAGCGACAGGATACCATCTCATTATTGACCACGGAAGCTGAGTACATTGCTTTGACTCACGCTGCCAAGGAAGCAATTTGGTTTAGGAACCTCTTATCAGAATTATTTGGCCCTATTACAAAACCAATCATTCTCAACGCCGACAACCAATCTGCCATCGCTCTTGCTAAAGATGATCGCTTCCATGCCCGAACCAAACACATTGACATTCGATACCACTTCATCCGATATGTCATTGAAGAAGGAAAGATCCGCCTTGTCTACTGCCCTACGGAAAACATGACTGCAGACATTTTTACAAAGGCGCTTCCATCTCTGAAAGCCAAACACTTCGCTGCGTCCATGGGACTAACAAAGGTTTGAGGGGGAGTGTTAACATTTGATGACTCACATACCATCTATGGAACATCGTTCTCATATTACCAACCGCTATCTCACTATCGTGTTATCAATCTCACCATCGTGTACTATTACTATAGGACTACCAGTAGGATACATCGTATTGTACTTCCTTTCTCTCTCGCTATGTTTAGCTGTAACATGACATCGTCTACCTTGAACTTGTATATAAACCTGTAGTATTCACCTCGTTGAACAAGCAGTCCTTTCCACTCTCTTATCGTCTGATCTGTGTGATCAACTACAGTGCTGTGTGCACTCTACTTATTACTGCCATTGCTGCAGAATATAACGTGACTATATTCTAACAAATCGCAGCTGACTGTGAATACTTTCGGGGATTTGCACTGGGACCCGGAGGCCCTGCGGCCCTCCTCCCATTGACTCGCATAGCTACTGTGGAGCCTCAAGGTCTATTTAGCCTTGCAGGTTCTCTACCTTACACCGCTACACATATTCTACACACATTGCTAGTAGTTCAAAGAAATAAGAACATCACTCAATGAAATAGAAGAACCAAGATGCTCAAAAAAGTTAAAACAACAATGATCAAGTATCGCAAATCAAAAATGACCACCGCAGGGGTCGAACCTGCAATCTCCTGATTACCACTCATCGTAGTCAGACGCGATGCCATTTCGCCAGGCGGCCATATATTTAGTGCGAAACAACCGCATTTTTGCGAGCGAAGCGAAGCAATACTGGCCATAGGGTGAAAAATTTCGTCAATTCTATATTCGCCAATCCCACGAGGTCACAGCCACCGCCATTTTTGGTAATCCCCTGTAAATCCCTCGTCATCGAGTTCAGTTACGACCTGTCCTTCCATTACCTTGTACATTCTTACTTGCTCAGTATATCATCCTTGTGTAATTATTATGGTGTCTTGATAACTGTTTAATGGAGGTGCGCCAGCACCGACACCCCTCAAAACTAGAATTTCGAAGCGAGCACCACATGTGAGATGTACTTGGAACAGAGGGGGCCTTCGGCCCCCTCTGAGCCGGACGAAGGAGGCTCACATGCGAATGCATGTTTATTCGGTCGGTAAAAGTGTCCACATTCATTTAAAAAACATTTTCTTCAATCCACAAAAGACTTTGATCTGTTGAACAACATAAAATCCATCCACTTCGACCACAGCCCAACAACGCTCGACAGACCCAGCTTCCAACTCCAATCACAGTCCAGGTAGCGAAAATGACCAAGCACCAAGCAATGCCTATACAATTGAAGTCGAGCTCGCTCGCGTGTAAGCCGTCTCGAATAATGTGGCTCAGAGAGACACGGGAAGACAGCCGATGGAGATGAGTCCACCTATGAAAAAGGGTTAGAACTACATGAAAAAAGGAAGTAAGAGGCACGATCATACCGTGACTGTTATCCTCACAGCAGACGGCCTGTGCAGAGCTATACACATCATCAACGAATGCTCCACCATGTATACTAAAGGCTTACCAGCTGCTGCCAGAAGCACCAATGACAGTGATGGGAGAGCAGGTGAGACCGACGTTCAGGTTCACATCCTGGAGAACAATGCCGAGGACGCCAAGAAGAATCGCGACGGGGCTGCTAGAGGCAGACTGGACGCTGTCGCAGCACTGGATAGGTCCAGTGGAGCAGCTGCTTGCCGGCTCATTTCGAGGAGTCGGTGTGGCGACCGCAAGAGTAGCGAGAGCGGCGGTGACGAAGGCGAGTTTGAATTGCATGATGAGTATTGAGAGTACTTGAACGACGGCTGCTGGCTGTTCGAGTGAAGATTATTCGGAGGTCGTACCTAGCTTTTATACCTTTTGTCGTCCCTACCAAGACCTCCCAAAGGTATAATCCTCAGGCTTGTTCCGAGGACTGCCCCAAGAAACTGTACGCAATGTCTGAATATGACCCGCGTAGTCGATGCTCCAGCCCTTAATCAGATATCTAAAAAAATCCTCGCATCTGTTAGGAGCCGTTAGGGAGACTGTCTGAATACAACGAAGGAAAAAAAGGCTCAACCTGGAATCGACGGACCAGGATGGACCAGGACGTACCGTGCAGGTTGTATTCTGTAAAAATCCTTGGTGAATATGATCTATTCTTGACAAAATGGTGTCAGATATAGCCTGACGGATGTCAGAAGAAGGACCATGAGAAGAACGAAACTACCTAATAACCAGAAGCCTTCGTGTTAAAGGCAATTGAATGCATTGATATACTTCCAAGAACCTCCAAGAACTTGATTACCATTTTGGTTTAGAATGTTCGTACCTCGAACCAGCTGAATTTTCCCAAGGGTGAAAAAACAGATTCCTGTATACTGCAGTATGCTCATCCTGTTAGAATAGTTCTAGGCCTCCTCTTCCTGCCGAGTACGACCCTGCGTAAGTGAAAGCAGAGTGCAATTCCTACATCATTTAACGCCGTTCAAAGCCCATCCTTAAGGCCCTCGAAGGCCCTCGGAGCTTCTCAAGACCAAGCGTGACGTCGGAGGCGTTTGGCGTTTGGCAGTGTTTCTGTGAATATCGAGAAACCGACAGAGACGATTACCATAAGTTGCCGTACGTGCATTAAGGAAAATTAACGGTATTGATTTCGTATTAACCAATCAGAACGGAAAGATCGTACCAATAGTGCAGATTTTGGCAAAACGGAGCTTGGGGTTCAGCCAATAGCATACCGTATTTCTTTCTATAACATCAGACATCTGCATGTCCTTGTCGTAAGAAAGCAGTTGGGAACTGAAGAGTCTATGTATGCCCGATAGGTTGGTCATCAACAAGAAAGAACATGATGAAGCAGTAAACTCACTAGCTAGAGTCATTTGACGTATCATACATACCATGAATAACAACAGATGAACAAGTCCTCGATGGTTACACTCCACAACCTGAAGCTAAAAAACGAGGCAAGATGGAAGCGTTCATTTGCATTCCCAATTTCTCGCGAAGACTTGGAGAGGGGAAAAGTTATAAATACAACCCTACAGAGTACACAGTACACCGATCATCGATAGATACTTCTCAGCTGGCTTTCAACCGTTTCCGCGGACAGCTTGATATCTAAGCACAGAGAAGGAATCAGTAGTGTACGGGAACAATAGCGAAGCATCTGTACATTTCTGGGGATCTAAACATCACGAATTCGTAGCAGGATTTAGAGAAAAAAATGGACCGTCAACAAAGATCGAGCAAAATTCTTCCCGAGAGCCTGGCTTACTTTTACTAAATTCCTTCTCTTTGTGTTTCTGGGTGAAAGCTTTGAGAGACGGAATGAGAAACTTGATGACATCGTTCCCTATTGCCTCTCTACTCTCTGCGTCATCCTCGAGCACTTTGGCTAGTCTGTGCCTCTCCAATACTTCTTCAAGTAGGTCATAGAATCTCGTAAACTTTTCCTTCGTTGCGGCTTTGCCTTTTTCCTTGGGATCGTCCGAGAGTGACTGCATGAGCGGCGAAAAGTTAGCATCAAGATAGCTCGCTTTCGCGGTACGAAAGTTCGAGTTCAGGATATCTTGCGTAGGCTTAGTGAGATAATCAATTAGTGATTCTTGTCGTGGCTCGAGGATATTCTTGCGGAGATAGGCAATGTTATTGAGAAGGAAAAACGAGTCGAATGGAGGGCGCCTTTGTGTACGAGCAATAAGGCTGACCGTGTTAATAATGGTGACGACGATATCATCTAAGGAAAGCAAACAAATTTGTGTTACACGGCGCAGTCCAAGAGTTGAAAAAATGGGTACGGTGAGTGGTAGGAGCGGAAGAAAGCTGAATAGGGAGAAAACGCACAGATAAAATGCTCTAATAACGTTTGCGCGCTAACTTCGACTATTGCTTGCTTCTTGACTACGACACCCTCTCCCATCTTCCAGTTTCCATCTCCCACGACGGCTAAGATATCACTAGAGCCAACAAGAACCTCTTGCATGTTGTTGAGAAACTGAACAGCCTGCGGAATATTCCGTGAATCCAGGAGCGTCGATATTGAAGAAAAGCGCACCTCTACTGAAGCATCTAATAACGCTGTACTCGTGTCTCCAGTCCTTCCTGCTGTTGATAGCTTGATATCCGCAAGGGCTTCCGGGAACATCCTGATGCACACCATTCGGACGACGTGAAGAACGTCTTTGTATTCGTTCGTTTCCTTTCGATTATCATTCCGACTCTCGGGAGAAACCTTGAGTGCAGAGATTTCTTCCCACATTGGCTGCAGCTCGAGCAGCGCCTCATAAACTGAGAGTATTAAGAACCCATATTTTTGCAGAGATCTCTTAGAAAAAGCAACCAGTGCTGTGATAGTGGTGCTCATTGAAAGCACAAGCGGATTAAGTAGATTACCGAAATGAGACGCCAGTTGTGATGGACTGACTAGCGTGCTCATTTCGATGAGCAGATCATATTCTTCGCGGGCCACAGATAACACGGATTGAACCCATGTTCCGAGTTCCCTCCCTGTGGCGATGGGTTCAATAGTGTCCGCGCGATCTACGACGCGTTTCCCATGCGCCTCGAGACACTTCTTACCCCACGTCCCTCGCATATCAGCGTACCCGCGCTGAGCATCCTTGAGCGTGGTAAGAATCGCAGCGGCAGCTGGATGTGATGGATGAGTAGACGGGACGGGCAACGTGCGGAGAAAAGCGACTATGGGCTGAAGTGTAGTGCGTAATTGCGACGAGAATGGAGCTTTGACTATTTCAACGCCGGGAGCTGGTGTAGTGCCAGAAGAACCCTCAGCGACGAGTTTGGTGTAAAGTTGAGCAAGCTTTTTGGCGCCAGTTTCAACCAATCTGGCTGTGTCGATGGTATCTTGATCAGAGGCTTTGAAAGCAATCGAAGCGTTGAGGCGCTGAAGGGCATCCTTGTATACTTCGAATTGTCCTGGCTGAGGCCTGCATTGCCTTCTTCAATTGAACAGAGCGCACGATAGCGGACAACGCACCCTCTCAGAATCAATGCCTCTTCAGCAGCTATTCCTCCCTGATTACTTGCCACTTCATCGATCTTCAATAGGGCCTTCTCAATATCTGCAGGCGCTCGATGATCCTCGGTAACTGGGTGAAAGATATCACGTACTGCTTGCTCTTCGATTCAAGATTTGAGCAGAATTGTAAAGTGGCAAGATGGACTTTTCAAGCCTAGCAAGGCGCGTATCAAAGCTGTTCAAAATGGCTGGTAGGTTAAGTGAGGGGTAACAGACATTCACGACAAGGCTTACTTGTCATTTTCTGAGAGATCTGGTGGGTTTTACTTAGATTCTGTTCCAGCTAACACAATGTTACTGACGCTCGACCACTGGAAAGTGAAGTAGCCTTACCAGCTCGATTTCAGCGGAGTCGTCATCCATCTTGTCAAGAATCAAACGATATAGTGGTATAAGCTTGTGAACGAATGAAAGAGCGTATAAATTCCAAAAGATGATGATGATAGATGATGATTCTCAGGCGTCTGAGTAAACAAACACAAGCTTCATAACACTCGCTTTGACATCGCCTTTTTCTGCCTTTGTACACCATGGACACCACAAATTCGTCCTAGATCTTTACAAAATTTGCTCTAAACCTGGGGTAAGATTTTTTACTCGCTCGCGCCATTTGAGGTCCGTTACGAATAAGCTCGAATTCAATAGGTTATTTCCGTATCTCCTGTCAACATTGATTCGCCATATTCATGGGA